GGAGCAATGCTGTCTGCAACTAAATGTCAGTAAAACTGTATGTATGTTCTTCACCAAAACCAAGTCGTCCTGCGTTGAGCCAGATGTGTTTGTGTCCGGGGAGAGGCTACAGGTGGTCTCAGAGTACAAATACCTGGGGGTCTTAATTGATTCAAGACTCAATTTTAAGGCTCGGGTGAAAAAGGTTTGCAACAGGGTCAAATTCAGTATGTTCATGTCAACAGAGGCGGCTCTGATGTACATGCACTCTATGGTTCTATCTCATATCACATACTGCTTAACAACCTGGTCACATGCCTGCACAACCACTCTTAAACCCTTGGAATCATTATACAAACAAACACTTAAAATAGTAGATAATAAATCAGTTTATTCTCATCATTGCCCAATACTCACAAAATATAACTTGTTGAGCTGGGAAAATGTAATGAGATATGCAAATGCTTGCCTCATGTACAAAATAATACACGGCCTTACCTCACCTCCGCTCAGGCATTTTATCACCATACGCACACCTGTAACTAGGTCAACAAGAGCTGCAACAAGAGGAGACTGCGTTGTTCCATTAAGGAAGAGTTCATTCAGCCAATCTTCTTTTTCTTTTAAAGCTGCACAACAGTGGAACTCAATCCCAGTAAAGATTAGAGAACAAAACACCTGCAGTTTATTTAAATCTACCTTAAAAACATGGTTAGTGGAAAGTCAGCTCTGTCAACACTGACACAATCTGTACATTACAACGCTCTGTTTGTACATATGCCTTGAACTGTATCTGTCTGCTTTGTGAATATGTATTTTAGTTCAGTTTTTATATATGCTTTTATCATAATATAAGTATCTCTGTTGAATGTTGTTTTACTGATTGTATTTACCTGTTATTTGAAATGAATTTTTGTTTTTAGGATGACTTTTAACATCTGTCCAGGGACTACAGACGAAAAATAGCCTGTTGGCTAACTCTGGCGCATTTACAGAAATGTCAATCAATGTGCACTGTCCCTGTCAAATAAATATTTTTAAAAAAAAGGCCGTCAGCAGCTTGGCCTCAGGTGCCAGTGCCACCTGCCAGTACCCCTTGGTGAGGTCCAATGTGGTGATGAACTTTGCTCGTCCCACCCTCTCTAACAACTCGTCGATTCTTGGCATGGGGTATGGGTCAAACTTTGAGATGCTGTTAAGATATCTGAAGTCAATGCAAAATCGTAAGGAGCCAACTTTCTTTGGTACAAGCACCACTGGACTGCACCACTCACTGGTTGACACTTCGATGATCCCCAGGTCTAACATCAGCTTTATCTCCTTCTTCAGGGCCAGCACCAACCGCTCAGGGATACGGTAGCTTTTCTTTCGGCTGGGAGCAGTCTCCTTGAGGTAGATGTTGTGCTGGACCAGATTGGTGAAACCAGGCTGCTCGGTGAAAAGCTCTGGATCCAATAGCTCGTTGATTTCTTCTTGCTGGACCGATGGGAGATGTGTTACATCCAATAGACCTGGTTCAGGTAGGTCTGTGGGGAAAAACTGCTCCGCCACCTCCTCGTCCTCCACTGGCTGTATGAAAAAGTGTTGTGACACGGTGTCTGGTGGATCTTGGAATCCTTTTAGCAGGTTGATATGAAACGTCTGGTGCTTCTTGGTTCTGTCCGGCATATGGATTTCATAGTTGACTGTTCCGACCTGTCTGGTGACCTCATATGGGCGCTGCCATCTAGCCAGCAGCTTGCTCTCACTGGAAGGTAACAGCAACAGCACCTTCTGACCAGGTTGAAACACTCTTTCTCTGACCTTCTGGTCATACCAGGTTTTCTGAGTCTTTTGGGCATTCATCAGGTTCCCCTTGGCCAGGGCTGACATTTTCTCCAACCGCTCCCTCATCTTGACCACGTAGGATACAATGTTTTCACCAGCAGGCTTCGGATTCTCCCAGTGGTCTTTAAGCAGATCCAGGGGACCTCTCACCTCACGTCCATACAACAGTTCAAAAGGTGAGAACCCGGTTGAGGATTGTGGCACCTCCCGGTAGGCGAAGAGGAGGTATGGCAACCACTGGTCCCAGTCGGAACCTGTCTCTGAAACAAACTTGCGCAGCATGCTCTTCAAGGTCTGGTTGTATCGCTCGACAAGGCCATCCGTTTGGGGATGATAAGGGGTGGTCTTAATGCCCTTTACTCCTAGCAGCTGATACACCTGCTTCAGTAACTTGGAGAGGAAGTTTGTGCCGCAGTCAGTAAGTATCTCTCTGGCTATGCCTACCCTAGAGAATAACTGTAGTAGGCAATTCGCCACATACCTGGCTTTAACAGATCTCAAGGGAAACACTTCGGGGTAGCGGGTAGCATAGTCACAAATTACCAGTATGTAGCGGTTACCCGATGCACTTCTCTCTAAAGGCCCAACTACATCCATACCTATTCTTTCAAACGGGGTTTCAATGAGGAGCAAGGGCTGTAACGGGGCTTTAGCTACCCTTTGCCTAGATGTAATCTGGCAGGTCTCACAGGCCTGGCAAAACTGGGACAGCTGGGTGTACAGGCCTGGCCAGGCAAAACGACGACCCACTCTACGCAGTGTTTTATTAAATGCCATGTGCCCTGCCCAAGGAAATGAGTGGCCGAGTTCCATTACCGTGTTTCTGAGTAACTGGGGTAAAGCTAATGCTTCAATCTCACCCTGACGACGGTACATAATACCCTGTTTAATGAGGTAAGTAGCATCCTCCTTAAATCCTGCATCTGCTGTTTTTACACCATCAACCTCTGACACTTTCTCAAACCACTGTGTAAGGGAAGGGTCCTTCCTCTGCAGCTCACCTACATCGGGGGGAATCTGAATGTCTAGCGGGTGACTAGGTACAGGGAGCTCAATGCTTTCCTTAGGGCCAGCCAAAAATGTGTCCCTGCGTTTCTGCGCTTTGGACAGGCGCTGCTTGTTTGTACCTGCCTTTAGCTCAGAATTATAAAATGGTAGCTCACCAAGGGTCGCCTTTGCTGTCTGCGCCCTTGTAGCGACATTACACATCCTAATCTGGGTGTCTGAGTTTACCTTGAACTCCCCATCGGAGGGATTGGGCTTCCCGGGCACTTCTACACTCTGGGGATCTAAGGGAATGACTGGTGGAGGAACTGATAGGGCACTTGGTGATGGCTGTTCTTGCACAAGATCTAGCAACGTTGGAACATCCAGGCCTAAAATGACTGAATAAGGCAGCTTGGGTGCTCGTGCCACCGGAAGAAGGAAAGTCTGCCCCCCGACAGTCAAAAAGACCTCGGCGGTGGGGTAAGGCTTTTCATCTCCGTGGATGCAACTGATGGTAGCTTTATCAGGGGCCCACTGATCCTTGCCAACAAGACTTGACCTCACAACTGTCTGGAAACTGCCACTATCCACCAGTGCTTCCTCACGCTGACCATTGATGAGTACCGGAACTATCCGTGCTTTTTCCTGCCTAACTACTGGTTGCCTGGTGGGTCTGGGAACAGTGCAAAGAAGAGAGGGCTTACTCTGCCTAGCCACTGGGCAGGTGGGTCGTGTGTGGCCAAGCTCATTACAATGGTAGCACCTTACTTCTGGCTGAACTTGCCTCTTAGCATAGGTCATTCGACTTGGCGTGGTTTGCTTGCCGCTGCTATTGCTACCATAGGTGTAACCACTACCCTTTTCACCCCCATAAGCATTACTTTTGCCCGACGGGTATCGGTTCTGGCAGTTCGCAAAGCTTTTGCTTTCTGTCCTTGCTGAATGAAATACTTCAGCGAGGCGGGACGCTTCCTCCACCGACTTAGGATCATGTTCCCGGATCCAAACTTCCATCTCTGGGTTCACCATGCGGAGGAACTGTTCAAGGATGAGTATCTCACAAATGTCTTTGATGCTGGACGTCTCAAACCTAACCCACTTGCAGAAGAGGTCCTTCAGTCGGACGTACAGCTCACGTGGGGTCTCGTCCTGTTGGATGTCGAGGGCACGAAACCTCCGTCTATAGGTGTCAGCGGTGATCTCATATTTGGCCAGGATTGCTGCTTTGACTTGCTCGTAGTCCTCAGAGTCTCTAATGTCCATTAGCACGTATGCACTGCGTGCTTTACCAGTCAGCAGGGGAACCAATCGGACAGCCCACTCTTCTTGGTCCCAACGACAGACCTGGGCCATAAGTTCGAAGGTGGTGAGGAACTGTTCAATGTTGTCATCTGGCCCCAGTGGCCACAACTTTGGCTCGCGGTGAAGCGGTTGTTCTCTCTGACGTCTTGGCGACCTTCGCCTGGATGAAGACGTCTGCTCCAGATCATCACCGAAGTCCCCTCTTCTTCTGGGCCGCTCCTCATCACTGCCTTGCTCTGTTGGCAGCCCCGCTCTCATCTCAGATACCTGGGCTTGAAGCCTTTGCCAGTTCGTCTCCTGCTGCTTCTGAGACTGCATGAGTGCTTTCATCATCTCAGACAGCACCTCAAACCTGTCCCTTGGTTCACCAGCCGTGGCCCCCTGGTCAACTCCATGCGTAGCCACCCCGTCATCGGGCACCTCCATTTGGTCGGGTTTTTTCCCTCTCGGCATTTCCAACTCCTTACTTGGTAAATCCCACTTCTGACACCACTTGTGAAGGCTGACAAGTGAGCGGCCCGACCAAGTAAGGAGACAGAGGCAGAACGTCTTGATACAACCCGGTGTGGGTATTTATTCATCTTTGGTACATGGTTGACCACATCAAATCCCCCAATGACTGTCTCCCACACTATTCTCTCCCAAATGAGCCCAACATTCCACCCTTTATAGCCCCACCCATTGGACCGTACCATCCAAAAGGGGTGGCATGTGCAGAGATGGTCAGCTCAGATAAGGACCATAGTTAGTCACAATAAACATTTAGTGGAGAATGACAACATCCTTTACTTACATTATATTTAATTACTGTATGCAAAGAAAAACCGTTATAAACTAACAAGCCAAATGTACATGATAACAAATCACCCCCACCTCCAACCTGCTCCTTTAACCCCATCCGGACAATAAAAAGGATCCGCTGTTTCCCCGGGGACCCTTTACGATGACGGACCTTGGGACCGGAGACGGGAGAGCAGGCGGAGGTGAGTGTTATGATGTTGACTGTTATAGGAGTAACTTGTACCATTAATGCACCTTATATCATGACTTTTACACGCTAAACATATCCTTTGCACATAATCTCAACCGCTGTCAATCTACACAAACCAACACTTTGGCGCTCTCGCTATAACTCCCCTTTCTTTCCAGGTGGAGCCGAGAGCCTGACCAGCGTCTGCCAGACAACATCACAATTTAATACGGTTGAATCATTTAATACACACTACATCAATAAATAGTATAAAATGTGCAAATAGGCAATGTTTAACTGTACTGTGCAACTCCCGCTAATAAAGTGCAAACTGTTCACTAAAGTGCTGAGTGACATTTGTCCTGTGCAAACCCACATGTGCAAGATTACCCGGCCCGAAGCCGTCAGTCCATAGTGACGAAGTTACCTTCGTCACAGGAGCCATTGTCGAAATACCAGGAAATGCACATTTCGATCGCTTCTTCTGTTGTTTACATTTATCTTTTGGTATATTTGGCTCCATAGGAAGCCTTTCTTCCCTGAATTATTTGCTCCTATAACATATCGTTCATATATAGCAAACCATGATTTGATTTTTCATCAAACACAGTAGTAGTTTATTACAGGTAAAAAATAACGTACATCCTGTTGTTGGTATAGGACTGCGCCAAGGCCTTGGTTTGACGTATCTGTATGGAGGACAAATGGCAGTGAGAAGTCAGGGAACCCGAGGACTGGGGGCTCAACCAGACAGTCTATTAGCCGTTCCAGGATGCATTGATGTTCTTCAGTCCACACAATTGGTTTGTGTGACGGCACTCCTTTCTTTTTTTCTGTGACTCGTCTTGTTTTTCTCCTGCTTTCTGTTACATTGTTGTCTTCTGCTGTACTTTTCAACAAGTCATAAAGTGGTCCGGGAAAAGTTCTGTATGTATTGTCTGTAGTAGCTTAGCAAGCCCATGATAGCTCGAAGCTCTCCCACATTTGTCGGTCTCTTATCTTTCAATGCTCTCACAGCGATGGTGTCAGCGGGCTTCAATTTGATTCCATATCTTCTCAACAGCTGTAGCACTTTTCTGACATGGTTCACATGGTCCTCAAACAATTGTGTCATCCAAATAGGGGATGCAGATGTTGTCTCGCACTTCTTCTAAACACTCTTCCATGCACCGTTGAAAGGCCGCTGGTGCATTCATCAGCCCAAATGGAATTATTATCCATTCATACAGGCCCCACGGTGTCACAAATGCAGTTAAAGGTCTGCTGTCTTCATCTATAAAACCCTGATGGTAGGCCTTCCCTTGGTCTAACAATGAAAACCAAGTATGACCGCCAAGACTGTCAAGGATGTCCTGCACTCGGGGTATCGGTTGTCTGTCAGGGTGTGTCTTTTTGTTTAACTCTCTGTAATCTATGCAAAGATGTAAGCTGCCATCTTTTTTTCTTACACAGACAACAGGTGAGGCATATGGTGAGCTGGATTTCTTTACCCATCCTTGTGCAATAAGGTTATGTAGATAGTCTTTCATCTCCTTATATAGTGGCTTTGGCACAGACACGTACGTTCGTGCTACAGGATCTGTGTCTGTAAGTGATATGCTCAACTTCAGCTTCTCAATACATCCAATATCATCATGTGACTTTGAAAAAGATGAACATTCCTCACGAAGCATATCTTGCACCATTACTTTCTCGGTTTCACTTATGGCGCGTTTCCACTGCAGCGGGGTAGCCCCGTTTAAGCGTCCCTAAGCGTCCTCGCTCTGGCCTCGGGCTACCTCGCTGGCCGGCCCAGGTCGTGGCGCATTTCCATTACAGTTTAGGACCTGGGGTAGCAACGCAGTGTAGGCGGGGCGATCGGCTTTGTTTTTGTTCACATTTCGAGTTGTTCCGTCGAGCTCCCGCTGGATTTGATCATCCTCAATGAGATGTAGGAACGTCGTCACCTCCTCGGTCGACCACGGTGTGCTTTTCTTATTAGACGTAGCCATTTTTGTAGCTCATCCGTTTACAAAATGCTGTTTATAAAAATGCTGCAAGCTTGCTTCTAGATATATATGCGACACTAGGGATGAACTCGCGCGCAATCTTGTGACGATTCTCTCTGACCAATCAGCAGTCGAGAGTGTTGACGTCACTAGTTCAGCCCTGGCCCTGGTCTGAGGGAACCACGATTTTATGAGGCCGGAAAAAGAGGGAAAAAGTACCCGCTGGCCGGTACTAGGCTATATGGAAACGCCACCAAAAACCGGCCTGGCCGCTTGAGGACGGTTAAGGACGCTTAAACGGGGCTACCTGCTGCAGTGGAAACGCGCCATAAGATGACTCAGGTTAATTGGTGGATTCCATGGAATGTCAGCATCATGTTCACTCTTTGCATTCACTTGATTGACTGACACTGGAGGATGCTGATTTGGTTTCTCTAACACTGTAGTTGGATTAGGGGCCGACCGATAATCGGCTTTATCAAATTGCCGATAAAACTTTGGCTCTGATGCGGCCGTTTCTCTGGCTGCAGTCACCACTCTGTGTACACGAGCAATGTCCCGCCCACAGAGCTATCTGATAGGCTATTACTGAAGATTTTCCGGGCGGGAGCCAGCCAGAGAGGCGGGACCTTCTCAGATTACAGGCAGGTGCGAAAGAACGCAGACACAGACTGAAGCAAGCAGCAGCGCTGAGCGGCAGAGCCATACATGTGTTAAACCGAAGTTCAATAAACATCCCTATCCCCTATGCTGAAGTTGCAAAAACACCACGATCTTATGATCCAATTCTATCAGTGTCCCAGTTACACAGGGACGCGGGAAGTCAGTCAGAGTTGGGGGTGCGTGCAGCGTCTCGCAGCGGAGTAACTGTGGTGCGGAGGGGGGGGAGGGGCTGCGAGTGGAGCCTCGCAGTTTTTCAGGTTGATATGTGAAGCTCATTAGCTAGCCAACGTTTAGCAAAAATATTAGAAGTGAGGCTACTAGACTAACGTTAGGTCTACTGTAATAGCCTTTTAATAGTTTGCAAAACATTAGCTAGCACTAGTGTTTTGCAGTTGCTAGCAGCTTATTGGGATGTTATGCTAGATAGACAGATCTAATAAATTAAGCATTATTGTTAGTTAAGCATGTCAGCCTGCAGCCCCACTTCTTGTCTCTCTAACTCATTGCAGATGACTGCACTAAAGAAAAGGGCACAGAGAGGAAACCAGTTGTAAGATGTTTAAAAGTTAATTAAACATAATATATGATTAAATGCATTTCAAAGAAGTTGTGTTGAGTTGTGTTGGAGTTTGTGTTATTCTACATTTTGACACCAAGATTTTCTGATTTTACTGCAAATGTATATCGGTTCCAAATATCGGTTATCGGTCTCCTTGATTACTAATAATCGGTATCGGCCTTGAAAAAGCCATATCGGTCGATCCCTAAGTTGGATACACAGCCTGGACTTGCTGCACTCTGCCCACAACAGTTCTTCCTGCCAACTCAATATCGTGATCGGTGGGGTTTTGCACATCGAGAATAATGTAAGGTGAAGCACCACTTTTAAGCATCACCAATGTATCACAAAACTCAAGGCCTTCAGCCCACTGAGGATTTATGTCAGGCTCAAAAATGAGGGTAGTGTCTTTCTTCAGTGGCTGTGTCTGTACTTTACAGTCAATTTGAACAGAAGAGTGTTTAGGAACCATGACTTTCCCTTTTGTGGTTTTTACCATATAGTCACATGACTGTTCTGTAGTCACTAGGTCAATGAAGGCTGTGACATTATTTTTCTCAAGACTGGGAATAGCTGCTGTTAAAGTCTCATGCAACTGCTCTCTTCTTCTAACATCCATTTGTTCTGAAGTGCTGGTTTTCACTATTCGCTCAATGACATTGTAGCCTAGAATAGGCTGTGAGAGAGATCTGCCTTTCATCACTAGCATGGGGACAATAAGTTCTTTGGGATCAGCTCCTTCTGCAGCTAATCCAAAAGTTACCTCAATGTAGCCCTTGTAAGGCATGCTCTCTCCGTTAGCAGCAGTGATGTTCAAATTATCCGGTGCATCCAGTAACTCTGAAACATCTCTTAGCTTCTCATGTGGCAAATATCTCTTTTTCCATTTTTCATCAACAATGCGGACTTGGGAGCCTGTATCCCACAATGCTTTAGTTTTACGGTCTTGGATGTAGCACTCAACTATACACCTTTTTCCTACCAATGCCACAAGACGAGAATGGCTGTCCTCTTTTCTGGTGTGGGATGTGCTTGCACTTGGTTGAGAGCACTGATTAACATGTGTGTGAGGGGGCTGCTTGCATTTTTTGTAATGTTTTGGCCAATGTTCAGTTTGACAGGTTTTAGAGCAGTAATTGTCTTCTTTACACGATGCACATTTTCTGAATTTCTGTTCGTTTTCAGGGACACCACAGTATGAGCAATGCTGTTGGGACATTACACTGTTGTTGGTTACTCCCTGTCCCGTGGGGGTAACCCTGTTTCGTTTAAAGGGACCTCTCTGTCTGGTCCGTTTCCTCTCAGCCTGCAACCTGCGAGAAAATGTTCACTACTACCACACCTGTAGCAATGGGTGCAATACTCACTTCCATTTTGCTTGCAGCCAAAACAAATTCTTAAGCGTGCACGACTTGTCCCGGAGAAGTTGTGTTGTGGTGCGAACCCTCTTTGGTATTAAGCTGTCTCTCCTCTCTACCCTGGTCCTGGGGGTGGCCAGCGGTTTTGCTGTGGATACTTGAACTGAGGAGGGGGGATGCATTCTTGTGGTATAGGTGAGGTGAAATACTGTGGCTGTGCTTGGTTAGGCTGTCGCATTGACTCTCTGATTTGTGCAACTTCAGCGCCTATGTTTTTCAGTAATGCCATATCAGACCGCATTTCTTTCAGTTCACTCAGAACATCAGGCTGAAATCTGCTGTTTTGGTCTAGATTAGTATTTTTTTCCTTTTTCTCTGCAGTTGTCTCGCTGGATTGAGCTGAGTGCACTGCGGTTGGCCGCTGCTGGGTAAGTAGTTTATTTTTATTTTGTCTCTGCTTCGTTGGCACAAGCAATGTTAACTTTTTCGAGGAGCAGCTCATCACTTGATGTTGTCTGTTGCAAATACGGCTGAAGATCACTTCTAATGTTGTCATTTTGCAGGCCTGTGAAAACAGTGTGGAGAAACATACTCTGTACGAGGACAGGATCATATCTTAGACCAGATTCTGCCTCCTGTGAAGCAAACATAATTTTCTGTCTTAAATCCAGAGCACGGATCAGGAAGTTTTGTGGAGTCTCCTTGTTACTTTGGACCTCTGAGGTCAGTTGTTTGTACAGTTCTGTTGCACCTTTTTCTTGGTAATGGGA